ATTACTTTGCATGTTCATGAGACAGACAGGCAGCTTGGAAGCTGTAAAGCAAAGCTCTCGGCATAGCTGGATGATCTATAATTCATAGACCACGGCATATTGCTACATTTCTCATCGCATCTTTACAGTGTTTCTAAGGGAAATCTGGCATAATACCTTCCCCTCCACCTCCATTTGTCTTCTAGAATCATTTCACATCAGTGAGCATACAAACAGCTCCCATTCACTCAACAGCCACCTCTCCTATCCTTACCAACGTGCGTCCCAAAAACAGAAGAGCGGCTTTTACTGAATCATTCAGAAAACTGTCACTTTTTCTTGCCAATAACTCTCTGATGTGCTGAGCTCATGCACTTTTTCTAAGTCCATGACTAAATTCAGTGAGCACAGCTGCTAACACTGCTAGCTCACCTGTCCCTCTTGCAGCAGACAGTTTATTACCTTGGTAGAGGTGGGCAACTTTGGCCACCTGTCCATCATGTGGAGAACAGCCAAGCAGCTCCACTTCTTAAGAACATAAGAGCCCTGTGGAACAGACCAAGGCTTCATCTAGTCCTGCATTCTCCTCACACAGGAGCCAACCTTCAAGCTCCTACAAGGACTAGTACAAAACATCCTTCAACCTCAGGTTCCCTAGAAACAGGTGTACCTGGGCATACTGCCTTTGATACCAGAGGCAGGACACAGCCATGGAGATTAAAGGCCATTTTCAGCTTTCTCTTCCACGAAGTTGCCCAATCCCCTTTTAAAGCCATCCAATTCTTCAGGAAATGGATGCCATGCAGTTGAACTATGCCCTGTGTGAAGAAGGCCTTCCTTTGATCTTTCCTAAATCTCCCACCAGATCAGCTCCATGGGATGGTGGGTGTGGGAGTGAGTACTGTGGGATAGTGAGAATCTCCACAGCCCTTATGAAAGAGCTCAGACTACACTGGGAAGAAGTCTTGCACTGGCAGCCTTTCACTCAAACCAGATCCCAGGCTCAAGCTTTTAAAATACTAACAAAAACAATAGGATGGAATGGATTTATGACTCCATAACGTACAAGTGGCATGGGCTGGATACAGGCAGATCCATCCATGCCATGTCAGAAGTGCAGCTCCTCTTTCTCCACTCGCAAATGTTTACCAGAACCATTTCTATTTCTAGTCGATCTTATATGTTAACATCTGGTCCACATCCTTGTTTGCAGCTAGTGGGGATAGGAAAACATTCATTCATTCCTTTAAGGGATGCAGGAGAGTTTAATTTTCCTTACAAAATGTGTGAGTTTGCCCCATTCACAGCAGCACCTGCAAGCACAAGTGACACACCTACTCAGATATTCACAGACTGCTACACGCTCCCTCACATTCCATTTTGTGCAACCTCCCCAGGTCAGGGTCAGGCAAAGTTCCCCTCCACGTTGAATCAGCCCACTTTCATCTATGGAAAAGTAGAGAAATCTGTGCAGATTTCATATTTGATGGCTGATTGATTTATGCACGTTTTCAGTTCACATGAAACAAGAACAAGCAGGTGAGAAACAAGGTGGTATTGAGAGAATCCTAGGGACCTCAAATATCACTTGTCCACCCTTTCTTAATTTATTTTATATTTTTGAGTTGCCTTTTAAGGCAAAGCTTCCCAAACAGAAGAGAAGAACATCAGGGCAAAGATAAATCCCATTAGACATTACAGAAGGAAGCACGTGTTTATTTATTTACTACCTTTATAACCCACTTTTTTTTTCTTTTTTTAAAGAACTTAAAGTGCCTTACATTATTTTCCTGCTCCATTCAGTCTTATCCCCACAACAACAGCCCTGTGAGGTAGGATGGGCTGAGAGTTTGTGACTGGCCCAAAGTCACCTGGTTGGCTCCATGGCTGGGCGGGGACTAGAACGCAGGCTGCCTGAGCCCAGTACCAGGTTCCTAACCACTGCACAGTACTATCCCATCTTGTTTGGCTTAGAAAAAGAGATACAGTCCTGGGAGTGAAAACAGCTGCCCATCTATGGATCCAAGCCTGATCATGTGAAATGACTCCTCGGTAATGGAAAATTACTGTGCTATCAGAGCATGATAGAAATGCTGGGCTTGAAGGAAAGGTATTTGCTCTCTTCATCACCCAATATGGAAAGTGACGTATCAGCGCATTTTGACTATGGTTGAAATGCAACCATGATGCATTGTTCCAACTGATAAGCATGTCCAGTACAGGACTAGTGCCACAACAAATTTCCCAGCGATAACAGCAGGCACAATTTGAAAATTAGGGAATTAATGAGATTTGAGAGAGATTAAGTGAACAGGGAGTTCAAGCAGAAGTAATCCGCCAATGTAATTGAGTGGAATAATCTGTCATGGCTGAAGCAAATGAAAGCACAGCTCTCAGGAACAAACTGGACATTTTAAAGCGGTGTGCGAGAGAAGGCAGGCGTCACTGTGGATGAAATACACTCGCTGCAAAATTGAAGGGAAAGTTGGAACAAAGAAACTGCTTTCTGCCTCACAATTTTTTATCATTCGGCATTGGAAGTGTAGGAAAGCGTGTACTCAGCAGCACTTTCCCAATGACAGATCATCGCAAGGGACCCGAAGCAGCTTACACGAACCTTCTCCTCTTCTGCATTTTATCTGCACAATAGCCCTGTGAGGTAGGTTAGCATGACTCACCTAAAGACACCTGGTGAGCTTTATATGAAGTGGGCACTAGAACCCAGCTCTCTAATCACTATGCCACACTGAGAAAATAAATCATACATTAGATTCATGTAGCCAGCACAGACAACACAAATGTCTGTTTTTACAACCTGGACAGGGGCACAAAGTGGGCATGGGAGAAGATGTGGAACAGGTGGTATTCTTGAACCCATGTTAACTTATCTAACGTGTTATTTTCTGTATACACCAGTTGCTTCTGTCATTTATCTCATTTCTATGCCACCCAAGACCTGAAGCTCTCCGGATAAACACAACATAATAATACCACATGACCTTTCCTAAATATAAACTTTAAAAACAAAATTAAAACATCTAAAGTGACATATGATGAAGAGTAGCTTTGTAAAACACTTGAGATGAGTAGTCCCCTCAAGCTGTTTCATATCTATGCATATCTTTAAAAACCTCCGCATAAAGAGCCCCTTTAACCTGGCACCAAAATGTTGGTATCAGATGGTGTCAGTGGGCAGCTACCACAAAGAAAGTTCTCCCCATTATAGGCTGCCCCCACCCAAGGTGGCACTCTGGAAGGTCCTGGAGCATCATGTCCAGGTAAATTCCAGTTTGGAAAGGTGGTGGTCCTGAGCTACACAAGACTTTATATGTTAAAACCAGTACCTCAAAATGGCTTTGGAAGCAGACAGTCAGCCATGCAGGTGGGCCAGACTGGTCTAATTCATTCAGGCCTAGAGGTCCCAGTAAATATCCTGGCTGTTGCATTTTGCATGAGCTGCAGCTTCTAGACAGTCTTCAAGGACAACCCCACCTACAGTGCTTTGGAGATTATCAGAAAAACAATGAGTAAAACTAGGCTTTCCAGAGAGCTGCTGCTAGTCAGAGCAGGCAACTCTGGACTAGGTGGGCAAACACGTTGTCTTGACATAGGGCAAATCCCTGCATTCTTACAAGGGCCGGCGAGCAAATAGCCACAGAGGCACAGTGCTGGCATGTTGCATACAGGATTTCATGATCAGTTCGGGTCAGGAGATGCAGGGCAGGTTTGCATGGCATGAGAAACCATGCTGAAAACTTGTTGTGGGTCTGTTGTGTCATCCAGACCCACTTCTGGAGTTCCTACATGGAAGGAGCAGTTTTGTGAAACTATGGAGAGAATCAGTCTGTTCTCAGGTTTCCATGTTTTACAGTGGCTTTTCTGGTCAACTGGCTCCAGATTCCCCCTTTTATCATTGCTGGTATGGAAACATCATAGAGTCCCCTAGCAAGAGCAGCCACAGAAGTGACCTCGTCTAGCCTTCAGTCTCTATTGCCCTCAGCTCCCATCCACTGAGCAATGTGTCCACCTCCCTGTTTACTTTTGGAAACAGGGATACAGCATGAAAATATCCAGAGACAGAAGGAAGGAATCGTGGCATAACTGTTTAATTTCATGTAATAAAAATCTCTGCAGGGACTGGAATGGTTGGGAAGTTCTTCAGACATGAAGGTACATTTGGAAGGGAGGAGGCCACCTCAGGAGTGCTCCATAGGCAAGAACAGTGAGGGGCTTTGCTCACAGGGGCTACCAGGAAGCATGGCAAGGCCAGGAGAATGGGATGGGAGAGCACAGGATTTGCACAACCCAGGAAATCTGATGATTGCCAGATCAGTAAGTTCAGGCAAAAATTTACAGGTTGAGGAGTCAACACAGGGTTGTTTGCTGTGCCATGTGAACCCAGCCACAGAGCAGGATGGACAGTTGGATCCTCTCTGAGCATTGGCATCATTCTGGGACCATTAGCAGCCCCAGCACCAGCAGACTGGAAGTTAGCCCAGCACTGGCTGGGACCAACTGGCAGGGATATATAGTCAGCCTGGGAAGGGCTCTCTTGGAGCTCCGCCCCTCAGGTGCTATGACCAGCTGTTGGAGAGCCAGCTGCCTTTTCCTGTACGAGAGGTTAGAGAGGTGGGGAGTTGATCAGACATGGCTCCTCAGGGTCTCCCTATTAACTAGGGTAGTCTTCTGGTGCCGGTGGAATCTATGTGACTTGCTTCATTCATTGTCTTCTGCAGCCCAGCAATCAGCAGCTTGGATCACGAATTCATGATATAATGGGGACATGTCTCGTTATAAAACCTCTCCAAATGGGAAGGGTGTGCAGCCCTGATGAAATGCACTCTTTTCAAGGAGGTTATCATGTTTAATTTTCTGTTCTGTTTCTAATGTGATGCTCTGTTGATGTCTATGGTGCTACTTGCAATTTAAGATAAGAAAAGGTTTTAAAATACCTAAAATAACTATTCCATACAGCCAAGTTTTCCTGTTTTCCTCTGATTTCACCCCAGAAGATTCCTTACCTGTAACTTTGAGCTCCGTTGTTCGTCTTATTAGCTTTCCTTCAAACTTTAGCTCACAAGTGTAATTTCCACCATCTTCTTCTTCAACATCTTGTATTAGAAGAGTATTTTCTTTCTGAACAACTAGACTTCTCCACATTGTTGGTTTACACTCCTGCAAAAAACAGAGATCAGAGGCTACAATGAATGGGATTTTTAGAAAAGTAAGGATGCTAATTGAGAAAGGTGGAGCTAGATGAATCACCAGTTGAAATTAAGATTGTTGGGACAAATATCAACAACCTCAGATATGCATATGATACCACTCTCATGGCAGAAGAGTCCTATCACTTCCTGGCAAATAGATGGGGAAGAAATGGAGGTACTGACAGATTTTATTTTCCTGGGCTCCAAGATCACCGCAGACAGGGACTGCAGCCAAGAAATTAAGATACGCCTGCTCCTGGGGAGGAAAGCTATGGCAAATCTAGACAGCATACTAAAAAGCAGAGACATCACCCTGCCAACAAAAGTGTGTATAGTCAAGGCGATGGTTTTCCCAGTTGCAATGTATGGCTGTGAAAGCTGGACCATAAAGAAGGCTGAGCGCCGAAGGATTGGGGCCTTTGAATTGTGGTGCTGGAGGAGACTCCTGCAAGTCCCTTGGACTGCAAGGCGATCAAACCAGTCAGTCCTAGAGAGGATCAACCCTGACTGCTCCTTAGAAGGCCAGATACTGAAGATGAAACTCAAATACTTTGGCCACCTAATGAGAAGGAAGGACTCCCTGGAGAAGAGCCTAATGCTGGGAACAATAGATGGCAAAAGAAGGAGGGGATGACAGAGGATGAGGTGGCTAGATGGAGTCACTGAAACAGTTGGTGTGAGCTTAAGTGGACTCCGGGGGACGGTGGAGGACACAAAGGCCTGGAGGAATGTTGTTCATGGGGTCGTGATGGGTCAGACAAGACTTTGCGACTAACAACAACAAAAAACAACTAACTGGATCTTTATTTATTATTTATTTATTTAGAAAATTTCAATGCCGCCCCATTCACCGACACCTCAGGGCAGCTTACAAATAAATCAATTAAAATACTATAAATTGACAATATAAAACAAGTTAACAATATAAAATATTAACTGATGATGTGCATAGTTGTCCCACAATGCAGACACTCTGTGTGGCTAACATTGTAATTCTATGGCCACTAGACAAAGTTTGACAGCCGTAGGATTTTTGGAGAACAGATATGAGGTCAAAACATCACTCCAACATGCATTGCTGGTTTGCATGCCTCACAAAATCCAGGAAAGTACAGATTTCAATGGTAAATCACAGTTCAATTCATTTCATTCCAGGAAGTGCTGGTTTTTCATGAGTGCACATTACAATCCATTTCTGACTTATTTCTCACCCACCTGTAGTTACCTACCACTCTGATTACCTGCCAAAGAACCAAAAGATCCTATTTGGTCCTAGGGATATGTGAGGAATCCATCTGGGGTGGGAATCCATCAGATTTCCCTGGGGCCAGCTTCCCAGACGCCAGTCTGCCCAGAGTCCAAACTCCTGGAGAGAACTCCCAGAATTTGTGGGACACTCACCAGGAAACATAGAAACATAGAAACAGAGTGAGTCAGAAGGGACTGCCTGGGCCATCTAGTCTGAACTCCGGCACCAGCCGGCTCCGCCCACGACATGCCCACCATGTGGGTGTCCAGCCTATCCTTGAACACCCGCACAGATGGGGCCTCAACCACCTCTCGTGAAAGCCCATTCCACACCCTCGGGGTCCTGACTGTCAGGAAGTGCTTCCTGGCATCCAAATGGAACCTTGGCTCCCTGAGCTTTGCTCCGTTGGAGCGTGTCCTGCCTTCCTCTGCAGGGGAGAACAGGTCTCTACCCATCGCCATGTGACATCCCCTCACATACCTGTATGTCGCCAACAGATCCCCTCTGAGTCTCCTCCAGGCTGAAGAGACCCAGTTCCCTCAGTCTCGCCTCATACGGCATCCCCTGCAAACTGGCCACCAACCTTGTGGCCCTACGCTGCACTGACTCCAACCTGGCTATATCCTTTCTGTAATGAGGGGCCCAAAACTGAACACAATACTCCAATTGCGGGTGCACCAGAGTCGTGTAGAGTGGTAGTAATACCGCTCTTGATCTAGAAGCCACACTTCTGGCTATGCAACCAAGGGTGGCGTTCGCCCTCTTGACCACCGCATCACACTGCTGACTCATGGTTAGCCTGCAGTCAACCAGCACCCCGAGGTCCCTTTCACAAGTGCTGCTCTCCAGCCACTTGTCACCTAACCTGTACTTATGACAGCTATTCCTATGCCCCATGTGCAAGACCTTGCACTTATCCACATTGAACGCCATCCTGTTGTCTCCTGCCCACTTCCATAGTCTGTCCAAATCCTTTTGGATCTGGAGTACCTGCTCCTCAGTGGTGGCCACTGCTCCAGTTTTAGTGTCATCTGTGAATTTGATCAGCAGACTGTTCACCCCTTCTTCCATGTCCTTAATGAAAAGATTAAACAGGATCAGCCCCAGGACAGAGCCCTGGGGGACCCCGCTTGTCACTGGCCGCCATCCCGATGATTCCCCACTAATGGTTACCTTCTGCTTTCGGTCAGTCAACCATGCCCTAATCCACCAGACAGTGCTTTGGTGTATCCCAAAACTCCTCAGTTTCTCCACCAGGATATCATGTGGCACTTTGTCAAAGGCCTTGCTGAAATCCAGGTATACCACATCCACTGCATCCCCTCCATCTAGCCATCTCGAAACCTTGTCATAGAATTCCACAAGGTTTGCCTGGCAGGACCTGTTTTTGCGGAAGTCGTGTTGTGTGGCTGTCAGCCTCCCTTCCCTATCTAGCATCACTAGATCTCTCACTCTTATGAGCCTTTCCATTGTTTTTCCTACAATGGACGTAAAGCTAACCGGTCTATAATTCCCCATGTCCTTTCTACTACCCTTTCGGAAAATTGGGACCACTGATGCCACCCTCCAGTCCTCTGGAACTTCACCCGTTCTCCACGAGGTCTCAAAATTGGAGGACACCGGGTGTGAGAGAACCCCTGCCAACTCTCTAAGTACTCTCGGGTGTAATCCGTCAGTGCCTGGGGCCTTTGTAATGTCCAATGCCCTGAGCAGCCCCTCAACTTCAAGGGGGGTGACTCTAATCTGTGCCCCTAAGTCCCCAGCCTCATCTAATCTCCTATGCAGATATCCCCTGTCCTGCTCTGGGGAGAACACAGAGGCAAAATAGTCATTTAGCATCTGTGCCTGTTCCCTCATATCAGTCACTGGATCTCCTTCCTCCTTATTTAGTGGTCCCACCACTTGTCTCCCCTTCCTTTTCCTATTTACATGCTGAAAGAAGCCCTTTTTGTTGCTCTTGATATTCTTGGCAAGTCTCAGCTCGTAATCAGCCTTAGCCTTGCAAAGAATCCTTCTGCAACGAGCCTCCTTCTCCCGGTATACCCTTTTGTCTATTTCCCCCAGTACCCATTTCCTACGGAGGTTCTTCTTTCGTCTAATCCCTCTAACCACCTCCTTTCGCATCCGTGGCGGCACTCTCCTCCGCCTCCCCACCTTACTGACCAGAGGTATCATCAAGGCTTGCGCCTCCAAAACCTTCCTTTTGAGTGCCATCCACCCCTCCTCAACTCGCTTACCTTCCAGTAACCTATCCCAGGAGACTTTCCCCAGTCTGGCCTTCAGTTGGCCAAAGTTGGCCCTCTTGAAGTCCCAGCTTCTAGTGCTCGACCTGCTGCATGTCCCCAGTCCCCTGATCATAAAACAAAGGATGGAGTGATCACTCGCATCCAGAGCTCCCCTAATCTGTACTTCATCTATCAGCTCCTCCCTATTGGTCAAGACCAAGTCAAGGATGTCTCCCCTCCTCGTCGCCTCTCGGACCCTCTGTGTGAAAAACCCTCCCTCTATAGCTTCTAGGAAGTGATGTGAACTGGCTGTCACTGCCAATTGAAATCTCCCATAATTACTGTGTCTCTCCCCCAAGATATCCTTAGAATCTGGCCTGTCAGGACATCATCCAGGGTCTCAAGTTTATTTATTTATTTATTTATTAAAACATTTTTATGCCACCCCATTCGCCGAAGCCTCGGGGCGGCTTACAACAATAAATTAAAACATCATAAATAACATTTTAAAATATATACATTAAAATAAAATACAAATATACAATATAAAATAAGCCGCCCTGGCCAGATAAAATTCAATAATATTAACATTTAAAATGCTGCTTAAATAAAAAGGTCTTTGCCTGGCGCCGAAAAACAAATAACGACGGCACCAGGTGGACCTCTCTGGGGAGCGCATTCCATAACTTAGGCGCCACCGCTGAGAAAGCCCTCCTCCGAGTAACCACCCTCCTAACTTCTTTCACGGAGGGCTCCCGGAGAAGGGCCTCTCCCGCCGATCTCAGGGGGCGGCTGGGCATATATGGATGTAAGTGCTCCTTCAGGTAGCCAGGACCCAAGCCGTTTAGGGATTTATAGGTCATCACCAACACCTTGAATTGGGCCCAGACTTCAATGGGAAGCCAGTGAAGCTGACGGAGAACTGGAGTCATGTGAACATAATGTCCAGTCCCCGTCAGCAGCCTGGCAGCTCTATTTTGAACCAATTGAAGTATCTGGACCGTCTTCAAGGGTAGCCCCACGTAGAGCGCGTTACAGAAGTCAAGACGGGAAGTCACCAGCACATATGTCACTGTCGCAAGGCAGTCGTTCTCCAGGTAGGGGCGCAGCTGATGAATCAGCCGAAGCTGGAGGAAAGCGCTCCTCGCTGCTGCTGTTACCTGAGCTTCCAGTGAAAGCTCAGGGTCGAGGAGCACTCCCAAGCTGCAGACCTTGTCCCTAAGAGGGAGTGCAACCCCGTTCAGGACAAGGTTCAATTCACGCTCTCCGAAGCCCAATCTGCCAACCAACAGGACCTCCGTCTTGTCTGGCTTGAGCTTCAGTTTATTGGCCCTCATCCAGCCCATTACCTCGGCCAGGCACTGGTTCAGCACAGCCACTGCCTCACCTGGATTGGTGGAGAATGAGAGGTAGAGCTGGGTATCATCAGCGTACCGATGGTTCCGCAGCCCACACCTCCTGATGCCCTCTCCCAGCGGTTTCATGTAGATGTTG